CACTGGAATTTGCTCAATACCTCCCGACCACTCTCCCTTCCTATGTTATGTGGCAGCTTTCCATCCCATGAGGTGATGGGTTATGTCATGCTGGTCAACTCAGTGTGGAGTATCACCTGCGTGGCTGAGGAGCCCCACAGCAGTGTCTGCTGCATTTGCAGATAGTCGACTGAGAAACTTCTAGAATCGCTGACCTGTGAGCTCTCAGTGCCCTCTTCTCAAGCAGCTGAGCTTCTTATTTCTGCTCCCCTCTTCCAAAACACTTCTGAACAATCAGTCTCCAAGCATCACAGTACTCCATTAACATCCTCCCTAAATCCTATCACAATGACCTTTGGTTGCTTGTCCTAACATTTCGACTTCGATAATGTTTTTTATTCTTTAATAACATTCCTGTGAAACACCCCAGGACCTTTATTATGTTAAAAGTGCTATAGCAATGCAAGGTGTCAACTCCATGTTAGGACCTGCTTGGATAGGACTGATCACTAGTTATAGCAGGAGCGATTATTCCTTTGGTCATCAGAAAAGAAATGACTTGAGGCAAGATTATGTTAAACACAAAACTTTATTTTGTTAAAGTTCATTCACCAAAAAAATCAAAGTTGAACTTTTGCTGAAAAATACAAAAATGGAAGTTGCAATGTAAAGATGTCCTAGGCAACATATTACATATAAAATTAACATGAAATGAAATAACAAAAATAATTCAGTTGCTAAAATATAACTTGCAAGCTAAAAGCTCATTTCTAGAATAACAGGAATGACAAATAGGTTTGTGGAGGGGTTTCTTCTTCCATCAGTGGTGTGCACACACATGTGCATGCAGACACACACAAAATAACAAGGTTGTCTGATTGGACAGGGCACTGAAACCATATGATTGTCAGAGATAATTCTTTAAAGTTTGTGTCAAAGGTAGATAGGGTGGTTAAGAAAGAGTTTAGCACTTCATTGCTCAGACCTTTGAGTATAGGAGTTGGGAAGTCATGTTGAGGTTGTACAGGACATTAGTGAGGCCTCTTCTGGAGTACTGTGTCCAGTTCTGTCCACCCTGTTACAAGAATGATATTATTAAGCTGGAGAGGATTCAGAAAAGATTTGCACAGGATGTTGTCGGGAATGGAGGGTTTGAGTTATAAGGGACTTGACAGGGTAGAATCTCAGAGGTTGTTATGAGACATGTTACATTGATCTCAGATGTAGAGGGACTGCCTTTTGCAAAGAGGTTGAGTAGGTTGAGCCCGTATCTGTTGAGTTTTAGGAAAATAAGAGGCGACCTTATTAAGACATGTAAGATTCTGAGGGAACTTGGTAGTAATTGTGGGAGAGTCTCAGACCAGAGGGAAATGATCTCAGAGTAAGGGGTCATCCCTTTGAGATGGAGATGAGGAGGAATTTCTTCTCTCAGCAGGTGGTGAATCTGTGGAATTCTTTATGGTAGACGGCTGTCAAAGCTGGGTCATTAACTATATTCAAGGATGAGGTAGAAGGATTTTTAATCAGTAAAGGAATCAAGGCTAATGGAAGCAAGGTAGGAAAGTGGAATTGAGAATGATGGCCTACTTCTGCTCCTATGTCTTATGGTTTTACGGTGAAGAGAAGAAAGTCCGATTCAAAAATATATTGGTTTGGTGGCAGGAACAGAGCAGGGGATGGGATTGGCTGGATTGCTCTACAGAGAACTGGTTTCAACTAGATGGGCTAAATAGGTCCTAATGACTCCATGAAACCTCCAGCAATCTGTCCATCAGAGTTGGTCTAGAGGAATGAAAAACTAATCTCCTGGACAAGCAAGATGAGAGAGGAGTCAGTGGGCCACTATATTTTTTTTAAAAATCCTTCAATTTAAAGTGAGTTTATTAGTTAGAACTGAACTGGTGTTGAGGATAATTGGCTCTTGGTGTGTGGCAGTCACCTACCAACATGTAGTTGTGCTATAACCCGTGTTTCATTAATGTGAATTGGCTGTAACGCGATTGATGAATAGTGGACACTGTTTGGATAACGTGAACTTTCTGCTGTACAAGTGTAGCGATTGTCTACAGCGTTTTCCCTGTAGCGCGACTTTCTATGGCAATTTTCCGTAGTGCAAGGTCACACGAGAACAAAACTTTTGGGTTACAGGAGAAATACCTGTACGTGAATAACGAGTTTGTTCATTGCCCATTTGAGAGGGGGAGGTCAGGTGCCACCAGGATCACAGTTCATGTGGCCAGCGGCAGGAAGGCTAGAGAGCCTGGCAAGAGAAGGTCATGAGGTTAAACCGCCTGGAATGCAGTTATGTAGAATCGCCAATCCTACTGTGTCACAGTGCAACAGAAAGCTGGATCAGCAACTTGATTCTACTTTCAATACCCTCTTCCCCCACACTGAGACCGGGAATAGAGAATACTGCCTGGGAATCTCCAACAAGAGAAACGAAAGAAGAAAAGATCAAAATCTGAATGGTAAACCTCCTTTGGTCTCCTAGCAACTTGGGATGAGAATTTTGGGCTGATGTAACTGAATGAGAGTCAGGGAGTGAGGCGAGAGAATAAGAGAGAGTGCGTTTGAATCTTTAGCCTGTGCCAGCTTCTACCCTGGCAGGCAGTGTAATGGATCTGCTGAGGTCGAACTGAATGGTGCAGTCAGGTCAACGGGCCGAATGCCCTCTCCTTTTTCTACATTCCTGAAATCGGTGTGAGGATGGGCAAAAGTATGAGCGGCACTGAATTCAGGTCAACCAAGGATCACCGAAGCAGGTGATCTGTTCACCACAGCAAAGATTTCAAATCCTCATTGTTCATGGAGCTTGGAAATTATGAGCAAAAAGGAATGTTCAGATGGAAATTTTTCTTTTAAAATGCTCCGAGTGTCTTGAAGGAGGAAAGGAAGGTAGAGAATGAGAGATATAGGGAGGGAATTCCAGAGCTCGGGCACAGGTAGGTAAAGGAACAGCCACCAATGGTGAAAAGGATTATAATCAGAGATGTTCAACTGTCAGAGTGAGAGAGTGAAACAATGAAATTCCAGAGAATGTCTTGACAGACAGACTGTGGTTTCAAGAGGCAAGCAAAGGTGTCCCGCGAGAGAAGGAGGAAATTATTCAGATTTGAGGGGAGCTTAGGAGTGTGGATTTGAGGTCAATCACAAAGAATTAGAATTAGCTTTATTGTCACATGTACTCCCATGAATTCAGTGAAAAGTTTACCTACAATGCCATCTTAGGTACAAGTTACCAGGTACAGATTGCTAAGTACAAATTCTTAGGGAAAAAAAAATTAGAAAAATAAGTAAATAAAAAGTCCAGCAATAAATTAAAAAAATAGAGAAATAAGAGTTCAGAACAACAGTCCTTCCAACCCAGACATTGCCAGGCTTCACCTCGAGGCCGGGAATCGAATCCGTGCTGAGATCCGGAGTTCGAATCTGCGCTGAGGCCAGGAGTTCGAGCCTGCGCTGAGGCCGGGAGTTCGAGCCTGTGCTGGGGCCGGGAGTTCGAGCCTATGCTGGGGCCGGGAGTTCGAGCCTGCGCCGAGGCCAGGAGTTTGAGCTCGCGCTGGGGCCGGGAATTCAAATCCGCACAGAAGCCGGGAGTTCGAGCCTGTGCTGGGGCTGGGAGTTCGAGCCTGCGCTGAGGCCGCGAGTTCGAGCCTGCGCTGAGGCCAGGGATCCGCACTGGCTTTTACCCTGGACATCATCATTGCTGTCCGAGGATGGCAGGTAAAAAGAAAAAGGAAAAAACAACGCAAAAAGAGAGAGCAATAAAAAAAAAGGAACGGATGGAGCCGACAAGCTCTGACTCAGGACTCCTACTCCACCGCCATCTTGGATGGCCTTGCTGGGGTTGTCCATTTTCCTAAAACGTCTGTGCATTCTCGTGCTTGGAATTCCAGGAGATACGGTCTGGCAAGAGACTGGCACCGCCCCTGGACATGTAACACTTTGGGGGGGGTCTGGCTAATGTCCTATTGAGGCAGGGGAAAACCTCACTTTAAATTCAGCATCAAGCATTTTGCAACAACCAAACACTTTATAGATAAGGTTCCAATCTATCCTCCAAATTGGTGCCCCATCAGACAGGAGTTACCAGAAAGACAGCAATAAGTATCCTTCCCTTTGGAGACACAGAATAGAGGGTGCGGGGTACAGACAGTAAGATTGCCAGGTCTCCAGAATTAAAGTCTGTTCTCCAGAAATTAAATTCTAATATTCAGGATACAGCTGATCAAGGCACTGCAACAATAGTAACACTTCAAAAGTACATCTTTGGCTATGAGTTGCTTTGGCTTATCTGATGGCAGTGGTTCAGTGGTTAGCAGTGCCGCCTCACAGCCCCAGAGTCCAAGGTTTGATTCCACCCTCGGGCGACTGTCTGGAGTTTGCACATTCTCCCTGTGTCTGCATGGGTTTCCTCCAGGTGCTCTGGTTTCCTCCCACAGTCCAAAGGTGTGCAAGGTTAGGTGAATTGGCCACGCTAAATTGCCCATAGAGTGCAAGGATGTGCAGGCTAGGTGGGTTAGCCATGAGAAATGCAGGGTTACAGGGAGGCGGTGGTCCTGGATGGGATGCTCTTCGGAGGGTCAGAGTGGGCTGAATGGCCTGCATCCACACTGTAGGGATTCTAAAAATCCAAAGAGCATTTTAGTTTTATCATTTCCTTTCAACATTTGTGTTTACTAGTCACAGAATGGTTTTAAAAGGTCAGATTTACTTGACGGTGAAGAAGCATCTGACTGAGTTATGGCACCCCGTTTGTCTTCCAATTGGCAATAGGAAGGCACTGTCCTGTGAGAATGGCAGGAGTGTGGGAGAGGGGCACTTGGAGGTTTGAGAGCCTATGACGAAATGTCTGGAATTCTCTTCAAACAGTGCCAATAAAATGGGCATGCCAGGTTATCAGACAGGCTCATAAGAAGCATCTCCACACAAAAGCCCCCACACCATTGTTCTCCTGGTATAGAGGAATTCTCCAGCGTTGAGGCTGAATCAGTCTGAAATGTTTCTCCCGACGAAAGCCGGAACGTCTGGTGCTCATGGGAAGTTGAACTCGGAGTCACTGATGTCTGTTACCGTGGCAAAGCTGCTGCTTTTCAACGATGTCACAGTGCCCGCCTCCTTCAACCCTGAAACGACAGGCAAGCTGGTTCAACTTTCCATCCTGCTTCTTATACACAATCCTGCCCTGCACTCCTGGCCACTGTCTATCAGGTTTGGTCATTATGCCCCATCACACGTTCAGGTCTAGGCAGTGGGACTTCTATTCCTCATCTGGAAGGGTCACACAATGGTTAAGAAACATCTAACTGAGTTATGGCACCCCGTTTGTCTTCCAATTGGCAAGGGTCACACAACTAACTATCCCCCAGCTTAGCTGACCTGCTCAACTGTGCTGCAGACCAATCTTTGTAATTTTGCCCATTCAAATTCAACTCCAACCTGGAACCCATAGTAAACCTAGGATTGAAGATCCCCAATCCTGCAGTCAATCAAACCCGCATTTCTCATTCCCTCACCAATGCAGGAGAGGTTGTGTTGTGCAGCTGTGTTGTACTACTTTGAGGCAATTTGTGGGTGGTGTTCATTTCAAGCGGCCGTACAGGACAACAGCAGATGGAGCTGTAAGCTGTAAGAAGAAGGAGGAGAAACACGAATTGTTATACAAGTAGCTGAAGTGCTCCGGATTGCCAGTCACTGTTTCTAAGTCGGGAATGAGGATAAAGCAAATTTACGAATTTCTGTGGAGAGTTTGTCTGCATTCCCGGCCAACCTTCTGGGTTTGAGCTGTAGTTTATCAGTGGAGAAATTATTGTGAATACAAAATAACAGCTTAAGAAAAAAGCTCCAACACAAACAAAAGTACTTTACTCCCCAGCAAATGCCTCTCATTTCATTCAATCTCCTCCCCTTCAATCACCACCTCTTGAATCACAATTGCCTTTTGGGTATTCTACTGGTCCTAATTTCTTTTTTTCTTTTTGAAGACACAATCAATCTCACTTTAACTGTATGGATTCTGGTGGTTTCAAATGGCTTAACATTTCACTGCGTACATTGAACACCCATCAGTTAAACTGGACGAGGGTTTAAAAAATCATTGTCTGATAATATCAGAGCACTTCTGATCGAAGATTGCGAAACTCTGGGTACCTGTGAAATAAGAAGAGGGCAGTACTTCAGATTTTTGACGTTGCATTTGCTGAGGAGAAATTTTCAACGTACATGAGGGAAATATTGTCACTGCCCCTTCACCCATTCTACCTGGGGCCAGTTGGCTGTCCAAGTCCTGAAAGCTGTAGATATACCCTTCTACACACCCACCCACACCACCCCCCCATATAAATACTCAAATAGAAGCAGGAGTAGGCCATTCTGCCCCTCGAGCCTGCTCCGCCATTCAATAAGATCATGGCTGATCTTGGGCTTCAAAAGCACTTCCTTTCTGATTCCCCATATTCCTTACTTCCCTCAGAGACAAAAAAACCTGTCACAGTCTTAAAAATATGCAGGGATAGAGGCTTCATAAAGAGAATTCCAAGGGTAAAAGTCTCCCTCTCTCTGAAGAGCAGACTGCAATGTCTGGGAGTTAAAGCAGCAAAACTTAATCATTCTCAACCACACCCAGTCATGATCCTCCAGCACCTCGCGATTACATTCCTTTCTGACAGGAGCATCAAGGTTAAAAGAAGAAAGTCATCCCTTCTAAAGTCAATTTTAATCATGGGCGGGATGTCGCCAGTTTTGAGTTTGGAGGGAAGGTGGTTGAGGTCCAGGCAGGTGGTGGGACAGGGACACTTCCCACTTACCAGGGTCTGGGGGGTCCCTATGGCTAAATTCCAAACCATCCTAAGAGTTTCGCCTTTCCCTCAGCGCTCACTGGCAACTTGCTGCTCCAACTGGGGAGAAGGAAGGATTTGGGGAAGCCCAATGCAGAGCCAAACCCAAGGCATTAGCATTCCCTCACAGCATGCATTTACACTGGCCTCGTGGGAAATGCTCATTGCAAATGTGTGAGCAAGTCTGGGTCATTGGCGCATCAAGGCTGTACATCATCATGGATCATGACAAACGCACTATAAGTAGGCTTCCAGCCAAAATGGGGCCATACTGAGCAGCACGGTAGCTCAGGGGTCAGCACTGCTGCCTCACAGTGCAAGGGTGCCAAGTTCGATTCCACCCTTGGGCAACTGAACGTGTGGAGTTTGCACGTTCTCCTGTTGTCTGCGTGGGTTTCCTCCGGGTGCTCCGGTTTCCTCCCACAGTCCAAAGATGTGCAGACGAGTTTGATTAGCCATGGGAAATGTGGGGTTACAGGGATAGGGTGGGTCTGGGTGGGATGCTGTTCGGAGGGGCAGTGTGGACTCGATGGGCCAAATGGCCTGCTTCCACACTCTAGGGATTCTATGCTGGAATAGACCCCAACATAGCAGCAAGGAGCAAACAGGAAGGGAAACATGTCACTTTCAGGGCAATACAGTACCCATTCTACTGGACAATAGACCAACAAAACTGGTACCATCGTATTTAATAAGAACAAAGCTCGCACTCAGGGCAACTGATGTTTATACATGTACAATATAAGCCAATCCTGAATCTATCCACAGTAAATGTGGAATATTCCAAGACCTGGAGGCAACCACCCAGAAGCCAGGCCCGTAGTTTCTGTTCCAAAGGTGGAGCATGAATAAACATTCCTGATCATTATTTGTTCATTACTTCCAGCGGATAGGCATGGTATCAGGTTGGCGCTCCATGGCAACATTTAATTCTCCCAGTTTGTGCTGTCAGACAGAAAAGACGGAAAATGTTGTCAGAGCTTCCATATCAGCTCCTGCTAATACAGTCCTTAATAACTGGCCTTTCAACTTAATCCAAACCCTTCTTTTCTCAGGAACCTATTTTACATAAATTGAGAGAATGAGAGTCTTGGGCCTAAGGTCTTCTGTGAGGCTCTGACGTTGCCTGAGCAAAGGTATCATATTAACGGGCTAATTTCATAATTTCTCCCTGTACTTCAGTTAATTATTGACGCAGATTAGTTTCGTCTAGGTGACTAAGTCATCTTTAGGTACAACTTACCATATAAACCTCCACCTACCCATTGATGATGAGAATTAAGCTGCATTGATATAGCACCTTTCATGGTCTCAGCTTAGCATTTTGCAGTGTTTTTTTTCAATTCACTCATGGGACACTGGTGTCACTAGCTGGGCCAGCATTTCTTGCCCATCCCTACTTGCCCAAGAGAAGGTGGTGGTCAGCTGCCTTCTTGTACCATTGCAGTCTAATCGGTGTAGGTAGACCCACTATGCTATTAGGGAGAAAGGTCCAGGATTTTGTCCCAGTGAAGGAACAGTAATACATTTCCAAGTGAGAATGGTGAATGGCTAGGAGGGGAACTTGCAGGAGGTGGTGTTCCCATGTATCTGCTGTCCTTGTCCTTCTACTTGGAACTGGTCATGGGTTTTGGAAGGCGCTGTCCAAGGAACCTTGGTGAATTTAAATTAATGTAGTTGTTTGTTGTAATAAAGGGAAATGCAGCTGCCAATTTTGCAAACACAACAAACTCCCAGAAACAGCAGTGATCACAGAATCATAGATCATAGAATCCCTACAGTGTGGAAACCACCCATTAAGCCCAACAAGTTCACACCGACCCTCTGAAGAGCACCCCACCCAGGCTTACCCTCTTGCCCTATCCCTGTATTTCCCATGACTAATCCACCTAACCTACACGTCCCTGGACACTATGGGCAATTCAGCATGGCCAATCCACCCTAACCTGCACATCTTTGGACTATGGGAGGAAACCAGAGCACCTGGAGGAAACCCATGCAGACACAGGGAGAATGTGCAAACTCCACACACAGACATCCCAGGCTGAAATTAAACCCGGGTCCCTGCTGCTGTGAGGCAGCCATACTAACCACTGAGCCACTGTGCTTTTTTTTAATGAATAGGTCAACTTTTTTATTGATACTAGTTGAGAGATAACTATTGACCAGAACATCAGGAGACCTCGCCTTGCTCTTTAAATACTAGCTGTGAAAACAGGCAGATTCTCGTTTTATGTCTCATTCAAGAAATGGCACCTCCAACAGTGTAGCAGTCCCTCAGCTTCAAGGTATTGATCAGGTTTCTGGAGTGGACTATGAATACACAACCTTCTGACTCAGAGTTAAGAGCCATGCTGACAATCAAAGATCAGCATGTCTTTCATAGGAACATAGAAAATATGTGCAACAGTAGGCCATTGGCCCTTCAAACCCGCACCACCATTCAATACGATCATGGCTGATCATGCAATTTCAGTATCCTACTCCCGCATTCTCTCCATACCCCTTGGTCCCTTTAGCCACAAGAGCCATCTCTGGCTCCCTCTTGAATATATCTAAAGAAGTGGCCCCAACAACTTTGTATGGTAGAGAATTCCACAAGTTCACAACTCTCTCAGTGAAGAAATTCTTCCTCATCTCAGTCACGAAAGCCTTACCTCTTATTCTTAGACTAAGGCTGGTGTCATGTGAAGACAGAGCTTTGCCATTTAGATTGCAAGATCAGATATACCACAGCATTAAGACAGGACCACTATCCTGACAAAATGTTTAGAGGTGATAGTAGAGACATGCAGGAAGCAAGTTGATACCATGGTGATACCAGCTACAGTATTTTAATTTAAACATTAGGGTTCATAAGGAAGAACTAAACAGCATTTATGTTTTAAAGGATTGGGATAACGGAATCCCATTCCTCCAAAAACAGGGTCGTAGTCACAAACAAAAATAGATAACAGAGAATGCTGGAAATGCTCAGCAGGTGTGGCAGCATCTGTGAAGAGAGAACAGAGTCTGACACTTCAAGTCTGGTATGATGATTACTTCAGAAGAGATAGAGAATTTCTACAGAATTTGTTGCTCATTAGAGGTAGAACTGACTACAAGAAGAACAACAAGTTTATTTATATAATTATTAGTTATTATTGATTGTCCTGCAGATACTCAATTCGAAATAATCGCTGGTAATATCTCTCTTTTGATGTTCGATATGGCATTCCACTCTCAGCTCCTTAAACAGAGCTGTCACACTGAATTTGTTAGCAACACCATGACAACAGCAGGGAAAGCAATGCCACATAAATGTGTTAAGTTCTCTGCTCTTCTGTCACCTTAAGTCAGGAACTAGATCCAAAACGTTAACTAGGTTTTCTCTCCACAGACGCTACCAGACCTGCTGAGCTTTTCCAGTAACTTCTATTTGTGTTTCTGATTTATGGCATCTACAGTTCTTTCAGTTTTTATTTTCTACAAACACAGTTCCTGTGGTAATTTAAATTTAAGGGGCAGGTGAGAACGTGTCATAAAAAAGGTAGGACTTTGCAGCAGAAAATGTCAAATCTATTTCCTCGGTTCCAAAGAAGGGAATTTTGAAATTATTTTTGCCATCTGAGTAAATACAGTTTTGTAACGCTGCTTGCTTTCCTTTAAACATTTCCCTAACTTCTTAGGCTATGGTTCATTAAATTTGTATTGTGCGACCAAGTGAGAGAGAGATGGCTCTCTGAATTATGGTTTTAAACCTGGTCAATCCCCTATGACTTTGCACAGACAATTACAGAAAATCCCAATG